TTTTTTGTTTGTTGTTGTGGTCTACCTTGTCTGGGGTTCATTCAGCGTCTTTAATTTTTCGTGATGTGGGGAAATTTTCTTCCAACGACTCATTGATTCTCTTTTTGGTTGTTTTCTTTATCTCTTCCTTTTCTGAAGTTACAATTACCTATAGGTTATCCCTCTTCAAGTTGTCTACATGAATCTTAGGCTTTCTTTGGATATTTTCATTCCTTTATCTGATTCTTATTCCAGCTTACTAGTATTAAGAGATTTATATACAAGCTCACTAATTCTAGGTTCCATTGATTCAGATCTGTTCCTTTGCCCTTTCAGTGTATTATCCATTTGTGATATCTTAGTATTGGTTTTCTGGAAGTCTACTTATAGGCTTTACATTGTCTCCAGCTCTCTATTTATTTTGTTTGATTGTTCCTGTAGCTCCTTTCTGAATTGTTTCTTGTTGTCTTCGACCTTTCTGTCAGTAGTTTGGAGGTACCTAAATATCATTCTCATGAACCTTTTGGGGGAAGTTCTCGTATCTCTTTTTCCTAAAAAAACAGTTTCTAGCTCTTCTCTCTTGGTCGTTTGTTTGAGCTACTCTGTCGTATTGTTTTATGTGAACAGAGATTGTATGTTGCATTCAAGGTATTGTGGTGTTGTATTTGTATTAAGTTGATGAATGCGTATTGGTGTATTCTTAGGCAGTCACCAGCTGCCTTCTGGTGGGTGTTATGAAGTGATGAGCCTAGGCACCATTCTTTGTTTGCTACTCATGTATTTCAGTTCAGGGTGAATTTAGCTCACATTGCTTGTTGTTGAGCCATTGTATAGCAGCTGGTATTAATTGTTGCCCAGTTGGTGGTACTGAAGAGAGTACAAATGTTTGGTTGCATGGTGACAGTTTTGTCTCCTCTCAGGGGAGGCAAGAAGAGAAGGAAAACAAACACACAGAAGCTGAAAACAAAAATATAAAATAATAATACTAATTTAAAAAAAAAGGAAACAGCAGTGGATAATTAAGCATAATACTTCTGTGCCACCTATTGGTCTCTTGCCTTCACAGCCACATGAGAAATTTCAAGGTGGCCCCACTGTGCCTTTCTAACCTGTGTTGTTGTTAGTGTCACGAAGTCGGTTCTGACTCATAGCAACCCTGTTTAGGGTTTCCAATGAGCAATTGATACGCTTGAATTGCTGACCTTGCAGTCCAGTGAATTAACCCAATCACCAAACCAGGGCTGCTTTCTAACTTATATCCAGCCTCTTTCTTTTTCTTACCTCTTTTCTCTCCCCTGAAGTCCATTCAACTACTTCTAGTGAGAACTCACCCAGGGCCTATTTGGAGCAGGGTCTGCTGGAGTGGGACTGTTGCTACTGTCTCCTTTCTCTTCAAATATGTGTGCAGCCATTGGATCCACGCAGGACCTTTTCTGGGGATGTTCACTAATGGAGATCTCGCCTCTGGCCACCAAGGAGGTGCAAGGAACCAGAGAGGAAAAAAAATTGCACCTTTGACATTGTGAATCACAGGAAGGCTTCTGTAACATGATTTTTTTTTCTTCTTTTTTTCCCTCATAATATGCTCACACATCTTCAAAATGACAGCAGTGGGTCTCGTTGGCCACCCCAAATCAGAAGTCACCTCCTTTCTTGCATCTTTTCTTTTTTTCTTTCTTGCATTTAAAATTTTTCTCTTTCTCAATATTTTTCTCTATTTAACTCTTTCTCCCATTAAGCACTTGAACTACTTATTTATCCCTTTATCTGAAGCTCAGAATTCCAGGACCATCCTCTGAAGTTGTCTTAGCCAATTTTTCATATCTTTGCTGCAGAGGTTCCACACAGCGTTTCTGCATAGTTCACGGTCTTACCCCACCCACTTTAACTCTATTATTCCCATCTTTACTTGAATATATTGCTACCCAGTCTTTACTCATGCTTATGAAGAAATAAGGAAAAGTTTTAATATTTTTAATCTTGAAAGGATTATCATGCATTTCTCTGATTATTAAAAGTAGCAGTAACATGAATTAAAGAAGAAAATAGACTGTTTTCAATAGGGGGCTTCAGTTCTTTGATATTTATTGTTATAACTAACATGCTGTTTTTGTCATTAGTTTTTATTATGGGATGAATTATGTGTCAGCTTGACCAGGTCATGAATATATAATAACTCCATGGTATGATTTGATGTGATAAGCTGACTAACTGGAACCTGTTGGAGCAAAGAGGTGGGATTATTACTAAAATAGACTAGGAGACTGGAGCCAACCCAAAGCCCCGGGAGCAGCACAACTGAAGTTCAGGGTCGAGAGGACTCTACCTAGAATTCTGAGAGCACGGTCAACACCCAGAGTCTGGAGGGCTAGGCCATTGTTTGAATTGTCTCAGAGAACAGAGATTTAATTGCATTGAAGTCTTGAAAGTTACTGTAAATTGTTTTGCTGGGTTTTTTTTACTTACCTGGTGTCTGTTACCCCTTAATCCCTTTCAGTTGCTCCTATTTGTAATAGAAATATCTACCTTGCTCCTGTTCCACCAGTTTACTTTGGAAGTAGATACTTGTATTCTAGATTTACAGGTAAAGAAGAATTTTGTCTCTTTGGAATTAGGATTTAGGAGACTTTGGGGATAATATGATGGAGTGAAAGAATTTTCACTTGAATTTTGGGGGGTCAAAGGGCAGAATGTCATGGATCAAGTTGTGTCCCCACAAAACATATCAATTTGGCTAGGCCATGATTATGTAATGATTATCAATGATGTGATCTGATATGATAAACCAATGAGTTGTAAAGGATTAAGGGTGGAATGTTGTTGTTAGGTGCCATCGAGTGGACATTGACTCATAGCCACCTTATGCATAGCAGAACAAAACAATGTCCGATCCTGGGCCAACCTCACTACTGTTGCCACACTTGAGTCCATCGATGCTGCCACCTGGCCAATCCATCTTGTTGGGGGTCTTCCTCTTTTTCTCTGACCCTCCATCTTACCAAACATGATATCCTTCTCCAGAGACTGTTCCTTCCTGACAATGTGTCCAAAGTATGAGAGATGAAGTTTGGTCATCTTGGCCTCTGAGGGTGGAATGCAACTTCCTTAATCCCTTGCAGCCCTGATCCATGTAAGGGAAGTTTCACCTGGATGAGGTCTGCAACACTGTTTATCTTACAAGAGATAAAATAAGTGAAGTGAAAGAGAGGAACCTACTGCCACCCAGAAACAAGAGCCCGGAGTAGAGCGCATTCTTTGGACCCAGTTTATTGAACTCGCACATACTATATACTGGGGAAGATTGATGCCAAAACACAAGGAGATTTCCAAGGAATTTCAGGTCTACAGATGCTGAAAGGTCATAAGGACCTTCCTTTTAAACTGTGAGCTAACAGAGAGAGAAAGCTTTTCCACAGAGCAGGCAATACGAATTTGAACTTCTAGCCTTCTAAACTGTGAGAGAAGGGAGCTTTGGTAGCATAGTGGTTCAAGTAGGCTGCTAACCTCAAGGTCAGCAGTTCAAAACTACCAGCTCTTCCATAGAGAAAGATAATGCTCTCTGCTCCCATAAAGACTTAGAGCCTGGATTCCACAGCACATAACCACCACCACCAAACTGTGAGAGAATGAATTTCTGTTTGTTAAAGCCATCCACTTGTGATATTTCTGTTACAGGAGCAGTAGATAACTAAGGTTGGCCCAGGACTGGGCAGTATTTTGTTCCGTTGTGCATAGGGTTGCTATGAGTCAGCACTGTCTCGATGGCACCTAACAAAAACAACAACAGAAAATTAAGACAGTTGATTCCAACTCATGATGACCCCACCAGGCCTCAGCACCTCAGGGTGGGTACAAACCAGCAACCCTCCAGCTAGTGGTCCAGTGTTCATTCTTTCATCTAATACTGCTCTTTTTTTTTTTTTTTTTTTTTTTTTTAATGCTTCCTTTCTATATCCTTTCTTTGGTCATTTGAAGTAATGTCTAAATTTTCTTATTGTTACTTCTCCCATTCATTAAAGACTTTAAATTTTGCCTATAAATATTTCAAAACCGTTGGCTAATCTTTTAGAATTTATAATGAAACAGCATGTTTTTGATTAAGATAGAAAGCTTAGTGCACTTCAATTTTATCCTTTCTCCCCACTCATTCTTTGACTTATTTCTGCTTGACAATGTAATATTCAGATTTGCATCCAAAATGCTATTACATTAAGATTTTACATGTTACATCTTCTCTTTTGAGAATATTTTTCTCATTTAATTTCATTCTGTAACAGTCTCAGTGAACCATTTATACCATCAATTATCTGTGTTTTCAGAACATAGGAAATAATTATTTATATTTCCATTCAGTATTGTTAGATTTACATTTATTTGAATTTATTTTTACTTTTTATGGTTTGACTGCGATCAGTCCTTAATTACTCTAATTTGCTTATTTTTTCCCTTATGTTTATTTATGTCAGTTTCTATAATTTCTGTAGACATTATGTCAGTTTACAGAAGAACAGTGAAGATATCTAAGATCAGGCAGATGTTGTTCCTCTGTTAAATAGCGTGAACATTTTATCATTAACTTTGCTTATTATGTGGTAACTCTTTTCTCACAAAACTCATAGAACTACAAGGTTAAAGTTATCTATGGAATTTTCACAATGCACCTAAGATGATTTCTCTCTTTGCCAGGTGTTTCCTCTTCTCTGTCCAAGTGTTGTTTTTTTAAGTTTTTATTGTGAATTGAATAATAATAGTTTACATGGGAGAATATTGGTTTTACACCATCATTTCATTGCAGTGATTACAATCTCCTCCATGTATCATCATTCAACAGTATTTGCTTCTATTCCCTCTGTGGTTTGTTTGTTTTATGGGGAGGATGTACATAAAACGCTCAGGAATGTACAATCATTTAAACAACCAAATGGCACATTGTGCAAGCCTGCTTCCTGGCTGCCAGCATTCAGTCTTTCTCTTTCCATGAGTCTAGAGTCCTCAGCTGCTCTCTCTCTCTCTCCATGTCCTCATCTCTGCTTCGGTCTCTAGTGTCACTGCTTCTCTGGATAAGGTCCCACATTACACTTGTGCTCTTCTCCCTTGATGGTCCTAGGGTCCTCTGTTTTTGGATTGTAAGATTAACTACTCCCTCATTTTTATTACAAAACTTCTACCTTTACAGTTGTGACAGTCATGATAACAATTACTCACTATTGAATCATAAGAAGCTTATCCCCATCTCTTTTCACCATATCTGTCTAGACAAGATGAAAACTGTTCAGTGGGGACTCCACCTTCCCCCTGTCCAGATGTTTTATTACCACAAAACCAGTCTAGTTCTTAAGATTTATCATTTTTGCCTATCATCTAGGAAAATAGATGGTGGAGATGCTTGGAATTCAATTCAGCCTCATAAATATTGTAATAAAAGGAGAGTCTCCTGGTGGTGCAGTTGCTAACACACTCAGCCACTTACTGAAACTGTACTGTTCTATGTACTGGTTCCCCATGAAATTTTAACAGTATAGATCCATGATCCATTCCATGGTAGAAAGATGTGTAGTCATTTTCATAAAGATTACATCCTTAGAAACCCGATGGGGCAGGTTTCTACTCTGTCCTATAGGGTTACTATGAGTCTGAATTGACTCAGCAGCAAGAAATTTGGTTCTTAAGTGTGGTTCTCCTATACTCTGTCCTTGTTTCTAGGTGCCATCGAGTCATTTCTGACTCATAGTGGCCCTGTATGTAACAAAATGAAACACTGCCCAGAGCTACACCATCCTCACAGTTGTTACACTTGAGCCATTGTTGCTGTCACTCTGCCAGTCGATCTCATTTGGGATCTTCATCTTTTTTGCTGACCTTGCACTTTACCAAACATGATGTGTTTCTCCAGGAACTGATCTATCCTGATAATATGTCCAAAGTATGAGCGATGAAGTCTGGCTCTCTTGGAATCTAAAGAGTAGTTTGGTTGTACTTCTCCTAGCAGTCCACGGTACATTTACTATTCTTCTCCAACATCATAACTCAAAATGCATCAATTCTTATACAGTCTTTCTTATTCATTGTCCAATGTCCACATGCATATGAGGTTATTGAAGATACCATGGCTTGGGTCAGGCACACTTCAGTCCCCAAACTGTGTAATATGTCATTTGATTTCTTGGCTGCTGCTTCTATGAGTGTTGATGGTAGATCCAAGCAAAATGAAGTCTTGGATAACTTGAATCTTTCCTCCATTTATTTTATTTATTAGTCCATGGGTGAGGACTTCTGTTTTCTTTTTTCTTTACATTGAGGTGCAACCCATACCAATGGCTATAGTCTTTTATTTTCAACAGTAAGTATTTTAAGTCCTCTTCCTTTCCAGGAAGCAAGGTGGTATCATCTGCATGATTACAGGTTGCTAATGAGTCTTCCTCCAATTCTGATGCCACATTCTTCACAGAATCCAGCTTCTCAGATTATTTACTCAGCATACAGATTAAATGGTGAATGATGAAATAATACTACCCTGGAGCACACCTTTCCTGATTTTTAACCATTTAGTATTCCTTGTTCTGTTCAAACATCTATGTAGAGAACATTTCAGTGTTCTGGAATCACCATTTTTCACAATGCTACTCGTAGTTTTTGTCATGATCCACAGAGTGGAAAGCCTCTGAATAGATAATAAAGTGCAAGTAAACATCTTTCAGGTGTTCTTTACTTTCAGCCAAGACCCATCTAATGTCAGCAGTGACCTCCCTACTTCCATGTTCCCTTCTGAATCCACCTTGAATTTCTGGGAATTCCCTGTCATTGTACTGTTGCAGTCATTTTAATTATCTTCAGCAAAATATAAGTTGCATGTGATATCAATGATATTGTTAGATCATTTCCACAGTTTGTTGGGGCACCTCTCTTTGGAATGGACACAAATATGGATCTCTTACAATCAGTTAACCAGGAAACTGTCTTCAATATTACTTGATTTGGATTTGTGAGCACGTCCATGCTGTCAGTTTGTTGAAAGATTTCTATTTGTATGCTGTCAATTCCTGGAGCCTTGTTTTTTTGCCAGTGCCTTAAGTTCAGCTTAGACTTCTTCCTTCAGTACCATCAGTTCTTGATCATATGCTACCTCTTGAAATGATTGAACGTAAATCTTTTATTTTGGGTACAGTGACTGTGTACACCTTTCATCTTCTTTTGATGCTTTCTGCATCATTTAACATTTTCCCCATAGAATCCTTTCAGCTTGAGAAATAGTGAGTATGCTTTTCCCTTTGATTTTTCTAACTCCAGGTCTTTGCACATTCCATTATATTATTTGACTTCCTTTCTAGCTGCCCTTGAAATCTTCTGTTCTACTCTTTCAACTCCTCCTTTCTTCCATTTGCTTTAACATCTATGCTAGAGAGCAAATTTCT